AATTAATACAAGCACTTAGCATGACACCAGCTCGTGAGATATACCTAACCACTTTGAATATTTTCTAGTATTACACACGACTTTTATGCTTAATCTGTACAGAGTTCCACTGAATTTATAAATGAACATTTGAACATTCTTTATTAGTCTAGGCATCTTAGTCTTTCACGGTATCCTCAATATATGTATAATTTAAGGGTTTATTTAAATACCAGATGCTCAAAAGGCAATAGGTAATTACTATTGCATACTTTTCTAGAATTTCTGTGCACAGTCGTATTATACCCGGATTACATCCCTCAAATACTGCATCCCGAACGTCTGATCTCCAGTGGTGCATGTATAAACACATTATGTAAAGAGAATAGGCCTATACTAGGCTTAATAAATTATAACAATACATTAGCTATCTGTATACAAAATAATTACATACCATGAAAAAAAATGGAAATCTGAATTATTATTATTATTATTATTATTATTATTATTATTATTATTATTATTATTAACATCTATGTTATTATTAGCTCAATCCACAATGGGAATTATGTGGAATCACGACGCACAGATCATGCTATTGGACATGATGTCATAATAAACTTGGTTGCCTGACGTCATCTTTGGATTTTGGTTGATTAAGAATAATAATGACGATAATACTACTACTACTACTACTACTACTACTACTACTACTACTACTACTACTACTACTACTACTACTACTACTACTACTACTACTAATAATAATAATAATAATAATAATAATAATAATAGCAATAACAATACCAATAACATTAACAATAACAATTAGTGACTATGTCAATGACAATAAACAATAATAATAATAATAATAATAATAATAATAATAATAATAAAAATGCATTTTTCAATAAGAAAGATGTATTTGTGTCGATTGAGGGCGGACACCTTGAGGGCGCTGTCAAGTGCATTCTGGGTAGCGTAGCTTGTCTGCCGTGTTTCAAGTGGCTCGCTTCCTTGCTTTCTGCATTCACTCTGAGCATGGAGGATACCTCCATGCTCTGAGTAACAAGTAACAATTTTAAACCCACCATCCTCCCCTACTTCTGCCCGGTAGTTGTTTATTTTCCATGATGTGGCGTGTGCACCCAGAATAGTTATATTTTAATTGTTTAAGTGTATTAATATTTGAATCTATTTGGTGCAACTCTTTATGAAACAGGTATATATTTAGGTAAGAATTTATGATTGTATTGATATGGTGCTCATGTGTAATTGAATAAGATAAGCAGAAATAGTATGTTAGTTTACTGTACTAATACAGTATGTTTGATAGGGGCAGCTTCCACTGTATGTACAAGGTATTCATTTCACATGAATAGAGTAATTTAAGCTGTTGGTTGTGGCTGCCCGACATTTGTTCAAGTTGTGTTATTTATATTATACATTTTTTGTATTTGTATTATTCATTCGTCATTTAACAATAAATGACAATTTCCATCCGAATCTGTGTGATCCTTTTATTTGCCTTGTCTGACCTCTTCGGCACAAATTATTATTGTTATTAATAATAATATAATAATAATAATAATAATAATGATAATAATAATAATAATAATAATAATAATAATAATAATAATAATAATAATAATTATTATTATTTATGTAACTAATTGCTCTGCAAATTCCTTCTTCCACAACTGGCTAAATTCAAACAATAACATACCGTACTCGCGTGAATAAGCGCCGCGTTTGAATAAGCGCCCTTTTTAATAAGCGCACTTCGGTGTTTATTCATTTTTTAAAACAATATTTTGTGACTGAATTTTTTAAGCAAACGATAATCTAACTAATCTTGAGACTGTGGTTGGCATGATTTGAGCTGCGGAGTGGATTCACATTTTCAGCTTATGCCAATTTCAAAATGAGGATATTTATCCTGGACTGATGAGAGCTCCCTGGACAGTATCTTTCCAACTTTCCTCTTCTTCTCTTTTTCTTTTCCCGACAATATTCATCTTTAGCACGTTTTCATGTGAGTTTGCAAGAAGCCCTGCGATGATCCTACCGATCTCATTCGGCAGATGGCCAACAATATACACCACCATCACCACTAATTTCATCTGCTGTTGAAACTCACAGAAATCTTGTCACGAGCCATGCTTTGGACAATTATCTTTTCTGCACCAGAACCATTTGTAATACCGTATCCGGTTTTCTGATGTCCTTATATATTTTCTTTTTCATTCAAAAATCGTCCATTGAATTTTCCAAGTTCTCAGAAGAACCCCTCAATTTTAGACAATAACGCACCCAAACTTTCATGAAACCTCCAAGCACTGCTTTTACACCGCTTTATTCTCAGTTTTAATGTTACTTTTTACATATGGTCGGTGTTTGGCCGTAAACTCAAGAGTTTTAACCAATGTTGCTTGGCACACAGGGTTTTTAATTCATTTTTTGCGGGCCGCAAGAAAAAATCGCTGTCGGCCGGCAACTTTTGTATACATTTGTCTTATTACAGGGCCGTAGCCACAATAATTGAAGGGTCAGGTTGCGAGTGAAGCGATAACTGAGGTTGGGGCCAGCAAGGGCCCTCGTCCGGGGTTTAGGCACCGGAGGCCCGAGAAAAATTTGCTATTTTTCCATTGTATACACCAATTTTAATGATGTTCTGTAGTAGTAATCTAATACATAGTTTAAAATATTTTTTTATAAAAATATTTTTTAAACTATAAACATCAAAGCTATGAAGAAGTAAAACAATAAAAATACTAAGAATTCAAAACAGGCAAGTTCATTCAAGACTAGCCTGTTACTCACAGCATTGTTGTTATTTTAGTATTTTGCCTGTGACATTGACAAAAATCCAAGATTAGACCTATGAATGATAAATCACATTGCTATGTTACACTTTCAATCAATCAGGCGCGGATCCAGACCTTCGCACCGTTCGCCATGGCGAAGCTCAGGGTGAGAGATAATGATATTAAAAAATATATATATAAAGCAATTGCTGTGCCTGGTGGTCCGGCAAATTTTAATTCTTTTTTTGTCAGAAATGCCACCTACCTCAACTAAAGACAAAAATACAGATAGTAATGCAATACATTTCTGCATTGTCTGTTAATTAAATTAATTAAAATGAACTGAAATTAAATCGGCTGCGCGATGTACGGTTGAGTTTTTTTTTTTTTTTTTTTTTTTTTTTTTTTTAATTTTGATTTATGTCATGATGTATGGTTAATAAAAAAAAAACAATCACAGGGAGAGTATACATGTGCATTGATTCTTATAACCTTATTGGAAGGCATATATAATTTTATTATGTTTTGTTATTTAAAAATCAGAGGAGACAATTATGCATATTTAATTAATTTCCTAGTGGAAGTAAAATCACACCAATCAAGTTTGGTTTTGGTCAGAGTACAATGTAGAAAGAATTGCATTATTCTGCTTCCTTTAAGAATAAGTTATATTATGACCAAGTTGTTATAATATGAATTTTAAACTGTATTATTATTAACTATGACCTATCAACACATAGGCCTAACATAAAACATGTACATATCAAAACTATTATGTTTAAACTATCCTCTCTAACATGTGCATAACGATAGTGATAAACAACCGAAATTATCTGTACTATATTATGCTAAACATTTACAGAGTGGACTTCCTTATGTTGTGGTTATATTAGACTGCAATATTATTATTAAAGAAGTCCATTCAACAAACAACATAACACATACATATCAAAGTTATTAGGTCAAAGTTCTCACGTCGTTGCATGCATAAAACGTAATTTCCTAAATTTGAATATCTGAGATTGACAGTCAATCAAAATTCTCTGTACTATCTATACTATATTTAAGGAGTGGACTTCCTTATGATTGTAGAAATACATAGGTCCTATTAGCCTGTAATATGACTAAAGACCATTCAACAAGCAACTTCCTTATAATTTAAGAAAATATAAATGTATATTAAGCTAAGCAAAGTTTAGAAGTTTAAAAGTTAAAAGAGTTAAAATTCCTTATTTTGTGGTCATATTAGACTGTAATATCATTAAAGACCGTTCAACAAACAACATCAAACATCAAAATTATATTAGGTTAAACTTTCCACTTCGGTGCACGTAATTTTTGGGATATATAAGATTTACATGGCATTTGAGTATAAATATAAAATCTTAAATATTTTACATTTTAATCAGTAATCTATCAGAAATGTGGGGATTGGTTATAATGTAAAGCTTTCCAAACCCCTACAACACCAAAACTGCGATCCAACAGGAATATTCCATTTTCATTTAATGTAGGTGTTTTTTACATGTTTTTATTTTATTTGTATTCTTTTTATTATGTATGATTCATTTTTTATATTTTCCACAGACAGATAAATGAATGCCTGAACTGATATTTTATGGGGTTCATATTACTTTCTATACAAACGAGATATCATAAATAATATATCTATTGTCCGACTGTGTGCATTAAACATTTGACGACAGAATTGCCGCCAAATTCTCAACCGTCTCAGTTACAGGCCTCGCTTGACACTTCACATCGAAGGGCCTGTTAATTAATCTTGCACAGGAGCTTGTCATGAAGTAGCTTCCTCCTCATCTTCATCATCATAATTATTAATTGTCCATAGAAAAGTAGGGAAAAGCTATGAATTCAGAGTGTATTCAATAATGAACGGCTAATAATTGCACGAAAGTGCATTTCAAAGCATTTAGAAAAAACTAAACTTTTCGAAGGAAGAACCGAAGATCCCCTCACCCGGTCCACCCCACTAAAATTTGTCTTCCAGCGACAGAACAAGCTCTCTTCTGATGACCCTAAACATCATGGGAACCCATTTGTGCGATAGTCAGGGTAAACTCTGGACCCGCGCTTGACATGTATTTAAGAGAAGTGCTTAAAAAAGGTATATTTACAATATGTTTATTTATAGAAATAATGTTGCATACTAGAACTATCAGGAATAAATATACAGATAAAGTCATGTTTTTTTTTTGGGTTTTTTGTCAGTAGAACCCCTCCTTTGGGACAACCCTTTTTACCAATAACCATGGGTTTTTTGTTTTGTGTATTTTCATATAGGTTAATCTAAACCGTACAGCCTGCATACTTATTTTTAAGTCAATGATATTCGATCTTGTGCATTCAATAGAAAGCTCAATATTTTTAAAAAGAAAAGTTATTTCATTGCATTGAATCATGAAACAATATCAGGAATGTACACAACCTTTGTAGTTTTAATAGCATACCGTATCTGTTAATTCCATATCATACAGTGAATAAATTATTCTTTGCATTGCAAATTATTATATTAAATTAGTTATAATGCAACTGTTAATCGTTCTTTGGTCAATTAAAATAAAATTATAAAAAAAACCCAATGTCATCACGGTACAAAAAGCATGCCAAAAAGCCTATTAAGGGGACACATTTACATTTTTGGTTAGTGTCCCCTGAATAGGTGACACCCCTATTAAGGGGACACTTTTTTGGGTACCCAAGGTGTCCCTTAATAGGGGTTCTACTGTATTAGTGAGATGAGTTGAATTACGGTAACTCTTGCGAAAGCCATATAATTTGGGCAGTCATCTTTGTGGTTAATCATGCAAAACATGTTTCTTGCTTAATTCTACACAATCATTAAAGGGCAACCAAGCAAACTACATAACATAAATATTATTCTGGATAAGACAATCAAATTGTCTCACATTTTTCTCACGACTAAAAATCATCTCCACTCCCTCGTAATGTTTTTGTTGAAAAAGCCTCACATTATTTAAGAGGGCACCTGAATATCAGCCGATCTTCTAGGATACACTGAAAGGGTCACCTTCTATAATAAATACTGTTAAACATTAAGAAAAACCGTAAAACCTCTAATAATAGGTAGTTATCGCCGCATGACGTTAACCTTAACTTAACTTTAACTTTAGTACCCAACATTCAGCGCGATAGCTCCGCCCCTTTTTGTAAACAAATCGAAATATGCATGCGCAAACCCATAACTAACGTACGTTGAACACGTAACATCCTGAAATTTACGTACTCCGCAACGCAAGATGAATAAATTATGACATCATCCTTTAACGTTAAGGTTAACGTCGTGCGGCGAAAACTACATATTAACCATTACTCTATTAGTAACCCCTTCCACCCACCAAAGAAGTTGATCTATAATAATAACTCACACTCTAATAATAACTTATGGGGTTACTACAAGAGTCACCAAAACTATAAACAAATGACATTCAAATCAACATTGTTTATGCTTTAACGCGATTTAGGCTTCTTCCTTAAAATATATATTGTGATTACGCCGTTGATGATTCTTACTTGAATTGACTCCTTGGTAATTTTCCTTAATGACTGACCGTTAATGATGCCCGCCGCATTATAAAAATAACAAATATAAGAAGATAATGCATGAGTGGCGGACAATTTTTAGTTTATAAATAAAAATAAATCAACCAAGTTTACTCGTACTGTAGTTATTTATTTCTATGAATTGCTGACGCATGTGGTGAGGGTGCCTGGGTGTTTAATATTTTCAAGTATAAGTGCCTATATTAACCTTAGTAATAGTATCCCACTACTCTAACAGTAACCTATACTCAAATAGTAACCCACCCTAAAAAACAATCGAAGAATAGTAATACAGGGTTATTATTTACGTTGTCTTGATCTAATTGTGGGTTCATATGCTGATAGCATTTGGTACTTCCTCAGGGTGTAAATAAGGGTACGCCGACTCTCTCTCGCTGTTTCTTTGGTCAACAATTTTACCAATTCTGGCCAATTCTTCTTCGAACCTAAAAAAATGAGATAGTATTTAAG